GTGGAGAAGCACCATGAACTGAAGTAATAAGTGGAGGTGTTGGGGGCGGGGGTGGAGAAGCACCATGAACTGAAGTAATAGGGGAGGGTGCTGGAGATGCTAGAGTTGGTGATGCTTTATCACCATATGAAGCAGGTGAGGATGGTGGAGGTGGTGAAGCAAGTGTTTCATGCATCACAGAAGGTGGGGGAGGGGATAAAACAGGTGCTGGAGGAGTACTTGCAATATTCTTTGATGTATATGGCCTAACCAGAGAGAGAGAGGAGAGAGGTGGTGGTGGGGGTGGTGGAGGGGGAGGCGGTATAGAACCAGCCACCATTGCATTAGAAACGGAAGAATATATTTGCTCCCATGATGGTTGTGTAGAAGAATGGGAAAAAACACTATTCTGCCTACTGAATGGAGGGGGAGGGGGAGGGGAAGGGGTAATCACAGTCTTTGATGAGCTAACTAGGGGTGGTGGTGCTGAAGACACAGAAAGTGGTGGAGGAGAGTACGTTGACTCAATATGATGAAATGAAGTAGGTGGTGGAGGTGGTGGAGGTGGTGGAGGAGGTATTGCATTTGCTCGGGGGGGTGATGGAAAATATGGAGATGGAGGCTTTGTGGGCAGTGGGGGAGGAGGTACTTCAAGTTGTGGATCGCAGTGTGATGGTTTTAAAGTTTCAGAGGAAGAATATGTCTCCTCTATCGACTCAACTGGAGACGATGGGCCAAGCACGAGTTCCCCAAGTGCAGAGTATGAAGGCCTTATAGAGTCCACGTCATTATTCACATCTGTAGCAACTAGGGAACTGAGAGTGGCAGCAGGGGCACTGTTATATCTTGAAGGCGGATAGGAAACATGCACAGAATTCATATAGGAGCCTTTGTTAGGTGGGATCCACCTAGAAACTATATTTGGCCTTGCTTGTTTTCCAGAAAACCCTTGAGCCTCTTGTTGTTCGACTTTCTGTTCAGTTAAACCCATATCAGTGGTCGGTTTTGCACTTGAAATAGGCTGTTTCTTGGAAATCGGTATTTGCAATTTTTCAGATTCTGAACCATCAGCACTCAACTTTTTCTGCAGAGCCTTGTTTTCCAATTTCTCAGTTGTAGTATATCTACCATCATCCTTTTCTTCTATATCTTCAAATTTCTCGTATGCATCATCCACCAAACCCTGGGCTTCCACATGGGTCAGGACATTAGCAGCAACCATGAAGGAATTTGAATTCATATCCCCATCATCTACACCAATGTCCTTAACTACATTAAGATCAGGATATATATTTTCATCCAGTTTGTACCTCACATCATCCACAGTAATGTCCTTCACTGCATCAAAATCTGATTTCTTATCATGCCTAAGATGATTTCCATCGTCAGATGCACAATCTTGGAATGCATGAGGATCCAAGTCCTCCTTCAAATCTTCGTTCCGGTTTACATGCTTGACCACTTGAGGATCATTGGACCCCTTTGCTTCCTGCCCATCCATTGTATTACTGAAGATCTCTTCAACCTCAAAAAATTCTTCAGGAGAAGCAGCTCCAGTTTCATTACCATCTTCATCGTCTAAGGCTGTGGTGAGACTGGGGACAACAGCATCAGCATCCAAAAAGAGTGCCTGACATAAATGCAATCATGCATTAACTTTTATAACTCCACAAAGTGCATTCACAAAAGAAGACCAAAAACTTACCTCAACTCTGAAGTCCTTAGGAAATTGGTCCCTTGCATCCCATAAAACATCAACTTCGTCACGGTTCAGCATCATAATGTTTGATCTTACGAATGCTGTGTGAAACATAACTCTAAACATCATCTCCTCGTGCACTAGATCTTCATCCAAATGGATGCATTCAAGAACTACGTCTCCTTGGACATGGCAATGAATATCAATTTTCACCAGCATACACTCTGCCTGTGGCAACAATTAATAAGAAAACTTAAATGTTGGTTAATTTCAGCTTTCAGGTTTGTGTTGCTGAGTCATTACCTGTAGGTAGTTGCGGATATGTTTTCTTTTGATTGATGTTGAAAATAAAAGCCTTGAAGTTCTATTTGCTGGTGTTGAGGGGTCTTGACCATAAACACGCACAACAGGCCGACATCCCTTCCCCCCGTCAAAAAGAGGTAGAACTCTAAGTATTAAACAATCCAAAACTAGAGGTGTATCCGATGGAGGCCAATCAGAACCTAAATTTCTCCTGGAAATGTATTGAAGATATCTCAGATGGGAAGGCTGAGGATTTAAAGGAGACAAAAGATGGAGAAGTTCCTTAGGAGCTTGCTTGTAGACCATTTCAAGGGTCTTCTGCTCCCCACTGTATTGTTTTCTATACAAGAGAAGACCAGCTAGCATGAATGCAAGAACAGGCCATCCTCCTCTTTCACAGTGCATCAATAGAACATTCTGTTGACCCTCCACCGACAACCAGCTTTCACTAGATCGAAGGAAGTGGTGAACCATCTCCAATGACAGTAAAGGACACCCCTCATATTGCCGAGGATAGTCCATAACTGTCATGTCATACTGAGTCAGTACATCAGAAATTTGACTACGCCTATCACCTTCTCTGAAGTTGAAAACCATGAAAGAGGCATCGGGAAAGTGGCCTTGCAACTGTGCTACAATGCCATCCAAGTAGACCTTATATTCTTCTTCTTCCAACACTTCCGTGGAGAAGCAGCAATCAAACACTGAGCACAAACAATAAGCATGATAAGTTACCATGTGCCACCACTAAAAACCATCTTCCAAGTTGCTAGCAAAATATCCATATTGATCTTATTGAGCTCTGTGCTTGCCATTCATTCAGCTCCTCTAGGTCATTTTCATTTATTATATCTTATATTTAGTTTCTCTTTCAACTCATATCCCAAAAAAAAAAAAAAAAAAACTATTCTCATTATCACCGTACATTTCTCTAGCACTATGCACCATTTAGTTGAAGTCTAGAATCTTCCCTTCTTAAGTAGAAATTATTATAGATTCTTAATCTAAATAAAGTATTTGATATATCAGTAGGTCCTGCGGTAACTGAACTCATATTCGACAAGAATCACACAGGTAATGCATAAAGAGCAGTGAGTGCAAGCAAGAGAGAAAGCATGTCAATGGAGATGGGAGGCTGGTTCCCATCACATTCCACAACTACTCAGGTCGAAGAGCATAGAAGTAGGGGGCAAAAATAAAATCCAGAAGGAATGAAGTACACAAGATAGTCTGCATCGGAAGTATTGCATTACGAAGCAGCTAAACCTAAACTTCAAAGGTTTATTGCGGCACTGTCCAAATTATCATTTAACGTCGAGCATTGAGCTCGCATACAGCTGAAAAAATAAGTAATCACCTAACTACGCACATTAAACAAACGATGCTGGGAGTTTAACATTCTGCAATAGCTTAGCATTTGGGGAAGCTGCATGAAAGGAACAAACAGCACAAAATTGAGAGAAAAACAAAATTGTAAGAAAGCTTACCATAGACTCTCTCGGAGATTTCAAGAAGCCGATCCGGCGGCTTCCTGTAAAAGAACCTTCTGAACAGCGCCATCGGATGGCGCTGTTTCTTCCTCGATCTGATCCAAACCCGTAGCTGAATAAAACACTAACCAGATCAAAATTGACCACCGAAGCAGAACAGATCTTAGAATTAAAAGGTCCGATCACAGCCAAAACCTTCGAAATTCAGCACAAAATCCACCAATTCAAAGCCAGATAGAAAATTAGCGAGCTAAAAAGACAAAATCCCGAGAACTTCCCGGCAATTAAACCCCAACCGTGGGGGGAAAAGTCCAAATGAAAAAGAAAAACAATCAAAGTCGGTCTACGAAAAATCGAAATAATGAAAATCAAAACAAAAAAAAAAAAAATGGAAGAAGAGAAGTTGAAGAATTAAGAATGAGAATTGAAAGAGTAGAGAGAAGTGACAGTAGGGCAGAGAGAGAGAGAGAGAGAGAGAGAGAGAGATTGAAGGGAGCAAGAACAAAAAACCCGGGTAAAAATAAAAAAATAAAAAATGGCGAGAGAAATGGGAAGGACTTGGAATTATGAATTCAGAAAGAAAGGGCGAAAAGAACATCGGAGAGAGAAAGAGGCGCGTAGACTAGACTGGATAAAACACCCGGATACTTCTCCTCCTTCCTTCCCTCACAGCTAACCCCTTCAACGTCCACTACGACAATTTTTGCTTTTACCGCTGGCACTCCACCTATCTCCCCGCCCTACGTGGCTCCCACGTGGCACCTCTATAACACTTACCCCTCCGCCCTCCCTCACCTTCGGAATCTATCTTACCCCTTCTCTTTTAAAAAAATAAAATAAATTTTAGTTTCTTATTGTTTTCAAATGGAAGATTAAATAATTTACCATATTTTTTAATTTTGTTTCTTATGTTTGTATACTTACTGTCGGGGGGATTTATACTTTGTCAATTAATATCATAATATTAACCTCTCTTGTAATTTATATTGATATATCCTTGAATATTAAAAAAAAAAACCCCGTTTTTTTAACCACAAAATTAAATTTTAACCATATACCAATCAAAATAAAACAATATATTCTGTTTCGAATTTTGGCTTTTGTAATAAATATATTTTAAATGGACTTTATAATTATGATTTTAATGTTTTACTTTTTAGGTAATAACTCTTGTACTTTATTTTATTTTATTTTTTAGAAATTCAGCAGACGCCCACGTCTTCCATTCCATTATTAACTTTTTTTTTTTTTTTTTTTGTTAATTAATTTTTATCAATGTTTTAAAACTCCAAATTATTTTTTTATAAAAAAAAAATTGTGGTCTCAAATTGTCGCTTTTGTATTTACGAACAAAATTGACATTTAAAATAACATTGTTACAACGTTAATTTAAATATTTTATAATATATTTCATAATTTTAAATTTTGTGATTTATAGGTCTACTGTAGTTAAAAAAATAATAATAAATTTGAAGATGAGAAATTTCACTATTATTTTAAAATTATAAATTTATTAAATGTAAAATTGAGAGGTAAGAATATAATAGTCAATAATTTTGAAAAATGTGAATGTAATTAAAATCTATGAAGCACAAAAATTGAAAAGAGAAAACAGTAGCTATACTAAATATTTCTAAATCAATTAAATAGGATGCTAAATATATTGGGAAAGTTGAAAGACTTTATTTATTATTTTTACTTTTTTACAAAAAAAAAAAAAAAAAAAAAAAAATTGCAACAAAAGTATTAAAGGAAGTATGCATGGAATTATTAGGATTTTAAGTAGAAATAAAATAAATGAATTGCCTTTCACGTGCGAGGTCGTGTGAACACATCGTGCTAAGATAATTGTCAAATTGTCAGTCGACCATTTAAAAATAATAATAAATAAGTAAATAAACACCCACGTGCGTATCACGTGTCGTGCACTATGGGAAAAGGAAAGAGAAAGGAGAAATGGGTCCTGCTGTAATCGACGTGGCATCCGATCAACGTCAAAATACGAAAGTCAATATGATGGACGGCTGGATGAGAAAAGTAAGTGATCAGGTACGGTGGGGACCATGGAATGATTGAGTCCATCCAGTCCGTGCATGGCATGTGAGGACCCCTGCGTCGTCATAATCATCCCAATGTGGTTCATCCGAATAAATTGATTTTAAAACTAGAAGAATAAATATACAAGTTTTTCTTTAAAAATAAAAAATAAAATATATAGCAAATGTGGAATATAAATATAAACAAATACTAACTCTACTAATATATTTGTTTTGTTTTGTTACTTTTTATTTTAAAATGTTTTACAAATTAAAACTACAAAAAAAAAAAAAAAAAAAAAAAAATTCATAAATTTAAATTTTTAAAAGAGCTCATATGTATTTTTAAGTAAAATGAAAAGTAAAAAAATAAAAATAAATACATAAATAAAACGGACACAAATAATTTTTTTATTAAATGAGATCTTTTAAAACTGTGAGATATAACATTGACTGGGGAGGGAACATAGCTTCTTTATAAGGGGCGGAAACCTATCCACACAAACGCAGCTTAAAGCGTCGAAGGAAAAATTCAAGAAGGATAATATTTGCTAGCGGTGAACTTGGGCTATTAAAAATGATATTAGAGCCAAACATAGGGCAGTGTGCCAGTGAGGACGATGGCTCCAAAGTGGGGTAGACTGTGATATCCTATATTGGTTGTGTAAGCATTTTTTACAATGGCGTAAAAACCTCTCCTTAAAACCATGATGGAAAATCCATAAAGAAAAGCCAAAAGAGCTGAAGAAAGATAATATATGCTAGTGGTGGATTTGGGAAAGTCCAAAAAGGACAAATGTCTGATCGATGAATAAACAAAGTTGTGTAGAATGTTCCATACAATATCACATACGAGTATTTTTAAACCATACATTTAAATAAACGTGATATTATCTGCCTTAAAAATGTTTGTTAGAGTTTAATTTGTTGGATAAATAAGGGTATTAGTGCTAATTTATTAAATTAGGTGCTAATTAGAGGACGTGGGTGGAATGAGAAAAATCAACTATATAGGGTGTCCTTATTTTGGGATGGCTCCTAAATTGGGCCCTGTCGTGTCTGACTTTTGGTGCCCCTCCCTAAATGCAACAGTGAATTGAAAATCATTTTGTTTTTCTTTTTCCATTTAAAATAAAATTTAATTTCACCATAAACATCTTTTTCACGTATATATTTTAAGAGGGAGCTGGGAGGTCCATTCTGTGTGGCTAACATTGCAAGATAAAGAAACAGAGCTATAAATATCTTATAATATTTTTGCCGCCAATTGTTCCTTACAAAATTGTCCGAAAATTGGGTTCTGAAAGCTGCAATTTGTCTTTACGAAAGCGTCAAGAATAAGGAATAGAGGAAATGCACCGAGCGATCTGTATATTCGTCCGACAATCACTTCCTAACGCTTGCATCGTCTTCGTTTCTGACGATCTCCATCGTCTCGGCCTTGGGACCTCCGAATGCGAGACGGAGATTACTATTTCCTCAGATAACAAGATGCACAATCCCCCCAAATCTACCATCGTTCTCCGCGCTGCCTCGTGTTATCTTTCCAGCTTGCTCTCTATCACATTTTGGCTACTGAATCTCCCTGGTACTTGCATTTCATTTCCATTTATCATTGTAATTCATTCGAATGTTTGGAAATCAGGACATGCATGTACTCTTTGATCTCCGTGGCCGAGAGGTTTACCTATAGTTTTCTCGCGAAATCTTCGGTTGTTTCTGCCTGCTGTTTTATTGTTTGAACGATATAATTTTCGTTCATAGTTTTGATTCTCTCTGATTATTCTTCTGTGAATGGTTCTAAAATCTCTAGATTGAATTTCGTTTTAATCAGGTGAGTTCTGGAAATGGAAAATATGGGCGAGATTGATACGAAACCTATTGATTCTGTACAAGCCGGTATCTCTCTATTTGGTGCCATAGGTGATCAGAACAAACACAAGCTCACAGCCAATAATGTAAGTTGAGACAGTTTGAGAATTTATTTACAAACGACAGAAGTACAACTATAGAATTTTGATGTGGTTTATTTATTTGTTCTATTTTTAAGCTCCTGATTTTTTGGATGATCTTGTTTCTTTGTATTGTGTTTATCAATTTTTAAACTCTCATTTCTTTGGTAGTTTATTTATATTGATCAAGTTTTATAGTACTTAATAGATAAAGAAATGAGATTGATTCTATTGATTCTAGGCAAGTTTGGTTCATAAAACATTCTCTTGCCAAACACTACAAGCGACCGTTTATCATCTTAATTTTATCAGTATTATTGTTATTACTTTTTATCATCGTAGGGGTATGAGAAGGAAAGAGAGGTTCAAGAGTTAGTAAAGGATTTGGCTAATTACAAGGTTCAACTTGAAGCAAAGGATGCAGCTTACATGCAGGCTCTTCTCAAGCTGGAACAACAACAGAAAGCCATCGACGAACTGTCTGAGTTGCTGAAAATTGCGGAAACTGGTAGAGATAAATACGTCAATGAATGCAGCGAAGCTAGATTTCTGCTGGATGAACTTGAACAAAAACTGAACGAAATGACTGAACAATCCTTGGAGACCGAAAAATTCCGAGAGAAACTTCAGGCTGCCGAGAATGAGTTGAAGCTCAGACAAGAGGAGCTTCTTGGGATTGAAACAGAACTTGCTGCCTCTAGAGAATCAGAGGTCAAGGGTATTATAAAAATAGAGTTGCTGGAAAACAAGGCTCACTTGGAAAAGGAGACTACTGTAGATCTCATAAGACGCATTTCAGAACTAAATGAAGCAATTCGTTTGTCAAAATTTGCTGCTAGTGAAGCAGAGAAGGAGATGTCTGCTGCATTATCTGCAAAGGAGACCGAGCTAGAGCTGGCTAAAAAGCAAGTTGTTGAGTTGCACAAGCAATTAGAAGAAATGAGCCAGCAAATAGAAATAGAGATGGAGCGGAATCAATTAAAAGAAGTGAAATTTTCAAATGAAGAAATCGAAAAATTCAAGGACGAGATCGAAACACTTAAGAATCAGTTGGAGAAGAAGAATCTTGAAATGGATGAGATGAGAGAAAGGGAAGCTAATGCGGAGGTTGAGATTGCATTGCTGAAATCTGAGCTTCATAAAGGAAGGTCAAAAGTTGCAGCTGTAGAAGCAGCTGAAGCCAAAGCCAAGAGTGTAACATCTGGTCTTTATCCTGCTGTTCAGGACTTGGCTGCAGAATCAGTCGAAGTTAAGAAGGAGAACATAAAGCTAGAACAGGAACCACTCGGGGCCTATGAAGAAACTGAGAACTCCATACTTGCCAAGCCACTTGTTGAGAGTAACTCTTCAAGCATGGAAGAAGATTTGAATCCTGAAGTCAATGAAAGAAGAAATGAAAGTACCACCATGACAATTACTTTAGAGGAATATCAGTCATCGATTAAGGATATTGACTCAGCCTCTGAACTCTCCTCAGACAAAATTTCCCATCATATCAGTTCGGAGTGCACGGATGAATTGGAAAAGTTGAAGAAGGAACTAGAAGCAGCAAACATAAGAATTGGGGAGTTCAGGTCACGTGCAGAACAGGCTGCCACCAGGGCTGAGATGGCTGAGAAAGCAAAAGAAGCCGTTGAAGACCAGCTGAGAAAAT